GGCCAATCAAATGCGTTGCAACCGAAAAGAATGAATACTCCGAGAAAGTAATAACGAGTATATAAACTGAGCTTCTTAAACACTCCGAGAAAAGTATACGCAGTAATAAACTGCTCCTCTTACTCCGAAAAGTATACGATATAAACTAGCTTCTTAATACTCCAATAAAGGTATAAGCAGTATAACTATATCCCTATTGTTAGTGAGAAGTTCTGGAGAGTAATTTTTTCTAAAAAATATTCTTAAGCCGATTAACTCAACAACACACGCCGGACAACGCGTTGCAGCAATAAAAACTGCGACGGCAGCATCGATGGTCATATTCTAGCAGCGCTGAAGATCAAAAATCAGGATCGAGCTTCAAGTTCAAAAATCTCCGACAACACGGCTCAGACATAAATGCAGCACCGGACTCTTACAGACTGTTCGACAAAGCCACCGAAAGCCTGGTAGATTGAGGAGTCAAGAACAGAAAGGCCATTCCACGGAGTCCGTTATATCCGACTGAAAAAGGTAGGGAGCAATCATATCAAAAGATATCACCAGACTCTTCTATAAAAGAACGAGACTTGAAATTTTACTTTGGAGGGGGTATCGTAGGCATATAAAATTGCTTATAAGCGTGCGCCCTAGCATAGCTCGGGGCACAAACGACAAACCAACGAGGCGACAGAGATCGACGATCGCACTCAAAGCAACGGAATTACATCCATTCGGCGTGCGGGATCAAGCCAAGTATTCGAAAGACGCTCAACGAGTCTATCCCGAGACGGACTCGAACGAATCACGAATCGAAATCAAGATCAAAGTTTCGGACGTCAGATTCAGATTATGGATTTACTGCCTAATCAGGATTCGCGGATTACTGCCCAAAATCTGGAATCAAGTCCAAACGAGTCAGTTTCCACGTCTAACAACCACAGCAACAGATAACACAACCGAATCAAGTCGCAGATCAAGCAACGAAGGGCGGATGAACCGGACAATCGAAAAATGACAGCGAAACGAACAACACGACGGAGGGCTCGGGGCCGAAACCGAGCGCACCTCAAGGGGCTCCGCCAAGGCCGCAAGCGCGGGGGCTGCCGACGCCTGAGCGTGCTCGGATGGCCGAGCCACCTCAGGTGGCTCGGCCACAGGCCCGAGCAGCTCAGGCGCGCCGGGCCGCGCCGAGCACGGGGACATGAGGCTCGGCCAAGCCGAAGCCACCCTCAGGGTGGTCGGCCCAAGGCCGAGCCACCCCGCAAAGGGTCGGCTCGGCGCAAAGGCCGAGCCACCATCCAGGGTGGCTCGGCCAAAGGCCGAGGCCCCCTGGGGTTTAGCTCTGGCAGCCGCAGCGCACCCCCAGTGGCGCGTGGCCGCGAGCCACCTCAGGGTGGCTATCGGCATGAGCCCGAGCCACCTTTGAGGTGGCTGGCCACCTAGCGGCGGTCGGCCAACCGTGCACACGGGCACAGTGACGCCTTGGCTTATAAATAGTAGAGGGGGGTTGTTCATTTGAAGATATGGAAATGCTTGCGAGAGGTGAAGGCCCTAGCCTCGAACTCGAGACTCATATCCAAACAAGATTCAAACTTAGGACTTCAACGATTGCTCATACCAGATCTGGTGCTCGCACGACGTCAATCGCCAAATAAGCGCAGGTATTCGAGAGGACCAGATCTCAGATCTACGCCGTACGAACTCCGGATCTAGGCTTGCGTCTTAGATCCCGAGAGCTTGAGGCGATGTTGCGCTTGGGAATCAAATCCCCTTCCCGGCTATTATTTCCTTCGTGGAATAATACCCTGTCGTACTGCGTAGATCGCGACCGGATCTAGATCGCGCGGATGGTCCACCGGCAAACAACACGCCCGGCGCAAGCGCAAAGAACCGCACCAAAGCAAGCGACCGGCAAATACAGGAGGCTGCGTGATTTGTTCACAGAGGAGAGTTGTAAATTTTTCCTTTATTTTCTTGTGATTTAGGTCTGTAAACCGGTATCTATAAAGACCGCGATCTTTTGTACTCAAAAAGTTGTAACTCAAGATGACAATTATCTCATTAATGAAGAAAGCAACGGTTTTTCCCGCGAACAACAGGCAAGCCACTTCTTGAAGATGATGAAAACATCTGACTTGTGCTTTAAGAAGAACACCCATAGTTTTCTCGTAGCATCATCAATAAAAGTGACAAAGTAAAAAGAGTTACCAACAGATGAGACTTGCGCAGGTCCCCACACGTCGGTGTGCACCAACTCTAATTTCTGCAGTTTTGGAGTCGGTCTGGTCTTGTTGAAGCTCACCTTCTTTTGTTTGCCTAGGATGCAGTCCTCACAGAAAGTCAGATCGATCTTGTTCAGACCCGGAAGCCTCTCTCCCGCGGCCATAATCTGCATCCCCTTCTCGCTCATGTGGCCAAGTCGTCGATGCCAAGTCATGCAGTCGACGGATGATGATGATGATGCTTGTCCTGCGGCAAGCAAGTGGTCGATCTTCCCGTTGGCGATGTAGAGAGACCCCTCGCGTTTGCCGTGTGCCACCACCAGGGCACCCTTGGACACCTTCCAGCTTCTCTGCTCGAAGGATACTCTGTAACCGGAGTCAGTCAGTTGCCTGACTGATATAAGATTTCACCTGAGATCCGGTACATGCCGAACATCGTTCAGTGTCAAGGTGGTCCCACACTCCATCTTGAGGGTACAATTTCCCTTCCCGGAAACCTTGCAAGGTTGATCGTCGCCAAGATAGACTGTCCCCAAGTCCTTCTTCACGAACGATGAAAGCAGCTTTTGTTGTGAGGTTGTATGGAAAGATGCACCAGAGTCAATGACCCACGCATCACTTTTGTCTTCTAGGGATAGGAGAAGTGCATCCGAATCTGTCTCGTGCATGAGATTGGCTGCACCGTCAGCCCGATCATCCCCTGCTGATGCTGAAACAATAACTCTGCAGTCCCGTGCAAAGTGGCCCTTCTTTCCGCATCTGAAGCACTTCCCTTCACCGTAACCATTCGGGTTAGGCCCTTTAGACTTCCCTCTGGATTTTGATTGGCCTCGTCGTCCCTTACCCTTCTTCTGTGCACGCCCTCATGCCTCGACATGTAGAGCACTCCCACTGCTAGAGGTCTCAACTCCTAAGACTTTGCGGCGAGATTCTTCATCCAGAATTGCCCCAACCACTGGTGTCGAGCTTCATCTTGTCATTGCCATTAGCGTTGCTCACCGCCATCACCATATTCTCTCATGAATCCGGTAGACAAGAAAGTAGCAGAAGAGCTTGGATCTCGTTGTCGAACTTTAGATCTACTGCAGCAAGCTGTTGCACCACTGCCTGAAATTCGTTCAAGAAGTCCGCCACGCGAGCTCCTTGCTGCATCTTGAGATTGAATAGCTTCTTCATCAGGTACACCTTATTTGAAACAGACGGCTTCTCATACAGCGCCTCCAAGGCCTCCATCAACTCCTTGGTGGTGGTCGCATGCGAGACGTTGTAAGTCACATGCTGGTGAAGGTTGAGCCTGATTGTGGCAAGTGCTTTACGATCGAGCACCTTCCACTTATCGTCGTCCATCTTCTCAGGTTTCCCCGCCTCTCCTTGGAGGGGTAGGAAGAGATCCTTCTGGTACAAATAGTCTTCTATTTGCATCCTCCAATACCTGAAATTTTGGCCGCCGAACTTCTCAATTCGAAGCCTGTTGTCTTCAACTGTAGATCCCATGGCGAAAGATTATGTCTTTCCCGTATTTGTGAATAGTACCGTATTCATGAATAGTGCCATACGTGTGAATAGTACCGTACACGTTTATAATGTCCAATGCCTTAAAGGAGTAAATATTAATCTAACTTATTTTCTGATGTGGAGGATCCACTTTTAGTGGCAGCCATAGAGCATACGATAAGCAGATATATATACTCTAAGTCAGGCTCTGATACCAGTTGTTAGGATTCACCCCAATAATAACGCCGACGCAATACACAAAATAAAGGCACAAGATCAACCAGAGTACTCACAGATATATGTGGTTCACTCCTTCGGAGCTACTCCACGGTACAACGACGACGCCAAATTCTTTTATATCCCAAAAGAATTAATCCAAGAGAACACCCTCTCTTGATCAGATACACTCCAAGAACTCTCACAAACTCTCTATTTGTTTTCTCTTACTCTTTCTATAAGAGGAGTTGTTTCTGGGATAAGATTTCCTTAAGAGTTTAGGGCCCTATTTATAGTGTTTGAGAAAACACTATGCACAAATATAATATTATCTGTGGGACCCGTCACTAATAATAAAATATTTATGGGACCCGGTGGGACCCTCCACCTTTTTCATTCTTCAAAGAAAACGTCACCGAAATCTCATTTTTCTTTGTGGGACCCACCTTTGTGGGCCCCATGGTTTGTTTTGTTAGGCTAACACCTTTTCCTTCAAATTGTAGTTGTTGTGTTTCCTAGAACACGGCAACTACAACAAAGTTTGACATACTTTGGTCCAAGAATTATAGCTTTCTAGCAAGAGGGTCAATTGCTGACAGGACCCTGTGTAGTGCTCAATTGCGGATAGAACCCCGAGTGAATAATTTTCTCTGTTTTACCCTCAGGAGGTCTGTTTGCTACCAAAGAACAATCTTAAAGAGTCAAAAAAATTCACTCAGGAGATCTATCTGCAACAATAGGAACTACATGGGGTCTATCTGCAATTGGGCGGTAGTACGGGGGACTATCCGCAATTAACGTTTCAGTAACTGATTCTCTCAAGTTAATTTTTGCTGACGGGGTCCCTAAATAGAACGCTGTACTAGTCAAAGGATTATCAATTAATGTCCAAGGTCCTATTCCAAGCATAAGCTCAAACCCAAGCATAACTAATACAGGATTAAATTGAAATCAGATAATGTTAACACTTGCACAACGAAACTTAGCCTTATCGATATCCACTAAGAGTTTTATATTAAGAAACGTACACAACGGTATATGTATAAATTTGAAATTATAAAGATTTTGCAACCATTTTTTTGTTACCTGAGTGAAGTAGTCCAATGCCTGAGCAAACTCTCCTCTGGCCTGCAACTCTCTGGCCACATCCAGCAACCTCACAGCCTCAGACACTCGACGGGAGATCTCATCACTGGCCCTCTTCTCTGGGGTGGTGACAGGATCGAAGACAGACCCGTCAGCATCAGCGAAAACAGCCGGAGAGATGATGACGGTGGACAGAGGTAATGAGAGCAGCAGCAAGCTCCTCCTGCTCCTGCCGATGATTTTGCTTGCTGCTGATTTTGTACTCAGATGAATCTGGGGCCTGGGGTTGTGAAGATGAGAGAGGATAGAGGAAGGCACTTTGCAAGAAGCACTCATTGCATTTGAGGGGTTTGCTTGCTTTGTGGCCTTCGCACTTTTTGTTTAGATCAGGCAAGGAGGCAATTAGCACAATATGGGTGGCTGAGCATTGCTGATAACTTGTCAAATATAGTCAGCATCTCTTAGATTTTTTTCCTCCAAAACAAAAACCAGCCAATGTTAGCCCAAAAAAGTGGAAAACATGAAAAATGCATAAAAGTTTCACAATGCGAGGAAAAATAGAATAATAAAACTGAACAAGGTGTTGGGAAATTTTAGTCTCCCCGCCTTCTATGATTTACGCAACTTGGAAGCCAACCTATAATCAGTAAGATATAAAATAACCACAATCAAGAAGAAAGAACATCGAGATTTACGTGGTTTGGTCGACCAACTTTGACCTATGTCCACAGGCAACAATATGAGAAATCCACTATGTATCAGGGAGAACTACAAGAGGAACCACTCAACTCTCGTCTCTCAATCTCTCATCCTCACATACAAGGGAGTTTTATGAACTTTTTAAATACTTTTATATGCTTATGTGGATGTTTTTATCATATAAAAGTATACTAGAGCTAGTATTAATATTTAGTTTATAATTTTTATGAAGTCTATTAATGATTAAGACACTAGTGGAAAATCATGTATCGCTGACGGGCATTCCCGTCAGCGATGCCCCAATTCCCGTCAGCGATAAGTATCGCTGACGGCGTCCCGTCAAGGATACGCCGTCAGCGATAGTCCCGTCAGGGAAGGACTATCGCTGACGGGGGGCCGTCAGCGATAAGTATCGCTGACGGCTATAGTGGCGACGGCAATGCCCGTCAGCGATAGCGAAACATCGCTGACGGGAATCCCGTCAGCGATGTTTCGCTATCGCTGACGGGCATTGCCGTCGCCACTATAGCCGTCAGCGATACTTATCGCTGACGGCCCCCCGTCAGCGATAGTCCTTCCCTGACGGGACTATCGCTGACGGCGTATCCTTGACGGGACGCCGTCAGCGATAGTTATCGCTGACGGGAATTGGGGCATCGCTGACGGGAATGCCCGTCAGCGATACATGATTTTCCACTAGTGTTCATCCGCGAGATTACCAAGTCAAGCTTATTAAAGATCAAGATCATTGCTTGGGTAATTTAGTTTAGGAATTTATATTATGTGTGTTAGTACTTTAAGCTCAATCATATACACACATATACGTTTTGGTTTTACATATATGTTTTGGTTTGATAGTTTTCAAGTTTTACTATGAAACAATTGAATATAATTAGAAAACATATTTTTGTTTCATACTCATATGCATATATATGATTTCATCAATATCAATTTTAGTTAGTTAAATGAAATCATGTTTTAGTGCATTATATGTGTATTTTGATAAAATACTATATTCATTGTTTATAGACTTCATAACAATAGTTTACATCTTTCTTCAAGTCTATAAAATCATTTTGTAAAGTTTCAAAAGTTGGTTTAGCCAAAATGTCAAAATTCACATGTTTACATTTTCGTGTTTTGGACTATTTTGCAAAATGATGATATTTTTCATTTGGGAAGTCCTTTTTCAAAACCAGTCGTTGTAGCATGTTTATTATCATGTCTACAATCATTCCCCAAAGTTTTACATTTTTTGGAATTTATTTGATATTTTTAAACAGTGTTTCAAAATCAGATAAACAGTTTTCTTTTCATGTGTCAGATTTCGGTCGACCGCATCGGTCGACCGATCATTTGATCTTTCATCACTGGGCGACAGAGAGTCTGTTGGTCGACCGGTCCGGTCGACCGAAAGCTCCATCAGTCGACCGCACCGGTCGACCGACGAAGTCTCTGCTTGTTTCTTTGTTTTTCAGATCTGCTCGCGGTCGACCGGATTTTCCGTCGGTCGACCGAATTCTTTCTTTCGGTCGACCGAACGTTCTGTCGGTCGACCGACAATAGATCAATTTTAATTTTTCATTGTTTTCTTTAAGGATCACATTTTCATTAGAAATAGTTTCAAACTTAGATGCTAACAACTCATGATCGGATTTCAAAATTTCATGCTTGCTTTGTAAATTAATGAAATCATTTTGCAATTTGTTAAAGGCATGTAATAATTTTTCACTAGCACAAGCAAGTTCATCATTAGGTAAATCATTAATAGATTTGAACTCGCAAACCTCACTAGGGCTATCGCCTAGTGGCCGTGTGCATGATGCTCCACATGAACTTGAAGCGGGATCCTCCAAAGCTTGTCGGATCGCCTCCAAGTCTCCTTGATGTGCTTCTATAAATATCCATAAGGTGTAAGCACTATCAAAATGAACAAACTTGTTAGACATAGATGAGTTAAAAGCATTTAACAAATATTCTAACAAAATGTTGTTCATAGTAAACATGCGATGATCATTTTTATTCCACTTGGATTTCTCCGTAGTGGGCACAATATAAGCATCATCTATAATTTCCCATAAATCAAAATGTTTAGATCTAACAAATAGTTTAAATCTAACACACCATTGGGCATAGGGGAAATTATCTAATCTAGGAGCAATATTGATGGCATAACCTAAACCATGCATATCCATAATATAAAAGGCAAGCAAGATACAAATAAAGCTCAAAATAAGATTAGCACAAAAAGATAACTTGGATCTTTAACTCAAGGCGATTAGACCTTAAATCAAAGAGCACCAAGCTCTGATACCAATTGTTAGACCCTAGAGGGGGGGTGATTAGGGTCTTATGCTAATCTAATCCGATTAAATGCCAATTAAAACTAATTAATAAGTTATCCTAGCAAGTATAAAATACAACAAGATACGTAAGCTAGGATAAGCAATATGAACAAATGAATATATCCTATCAATGAGATATTACAAATATATGAGCAAGGATATATGAACTAACACAAGGGTAAAATAAACAATCTACACAAGTGATAGGGTAATATGATGAGCAATACACAAAGGCGATATAAGATATGAAAACAAGAATAAGAACGCCAATGCAATCACAAACAAAACGATATGATCACGGAGTTCGGTCTAACCACTTGACCTACGTCTCCGCTCCTCACCTCGAGGAGATCTCCACTATCACAACCGGGTTTTCTACGTTCACCCGAACAACGTTTACACCTCACAATACAATCACTATGCAATCACACCTCACACACTAAGTGTTGGTCCTAGCCCGTGTCCTCCTCCTCAAGTGCTCGGTTACAACCTCTCCCTAGGCACGTCAACCGACGCTACTCCTCTTGGATTCGACCCCGTCTCTCACCACACACTTCTCTCGGTGTACAAGTGTATTACAAGTGAATCCTCACAATTAAGCACAATATAAATCAATTGATTGTTCTTCTAAACAAGATGAGAACTCAATTAAGCTCACTCTCAATGTCACAAACCCACAAACCTAAATTATACTATGAATGTAAATACAATAAGCTCAATGGGTTGTGTGTGAACAAAGAGATATAAATCAAAACTAAACTCAATGTAGTTCTAGCTTAATAACAATGATAATCAAATATATAAAAAAGCTAGAAATAGAGTTTAGTAAACTTCTCAATAGATCAAGAGATGGAGAGAGAATAGTTGGATGCCCAAACACCAATAGATGATCTCCTCAAGCTCTTGTAGAATTGAATCACAAAAACAAACTCTCAATTTGCTTAAAAGCTTTTTAAACACACTTAAACCAAACTAAAACCCTTGTTAAAAACTTTCTTAAACTTGTTTTAAAAACTCTTCTTAGATAGCTTGAAAGTTGAAGGCAATGGGGTATTTATACCCTCTCACAACTCAGCCAAAAACGTGAGCAAAAGACAAAAAACAACGGTAAAAAAACTAGCCGTTGGAAGCAGAAAAAGACCTCGTCGGTCGACCGGAAAATTCATCGGTCGACCAAAAATTTTCATCGGTCGATCGGACCGGTCGACCGACAGTCTCTCTGTCGCCCAGTGAGCATTTGAACTCAGGTTCGGTTTTGTAAAATCAATTAAAAATAGTAAAACAGTTCCAAAAATTATGAAAATTTGTAGGAAGGTTCTAGACATATTAAAATGCTGTTTAAAAATATCAAATAAATTCTAAAAAATGTAAAACTTTGGGAAATGATTGTAGACATGATAATAAACATGCTACAACAACTGGTTTTGAAAAAGGACTTCCCAAATGAAAAATATCATCATTTTGCAAATATGTTCAAAAACATGAAAACCTGAAAATTGATATTTTGATATTTCGACTTAAACAACATTTTGAAACCTTATGAAATGATTGTATAGACTTGATAAAAGATATAACATGTTGTTATGAAGTCTATAACCTAGAAATACAATAGAAAATGAAACCTATGAGTATGTATATGAAAATATATTTGTTTCATATCTAAGTAGATAAACCAAATCACAATAATAAATATGAAACATGTAATTTCATATTTATAAACATGAAAACTAAAACTTGTGTTGTATATATATATGTGACTACATATATATACAAGGAAACCAATAAAAATGTGTGTGTATAGATAATTGAGCTTAGAGTACTTAACACGCATAATATAAATCCTAAACTACATTACCCAAGCTTGATCTTGATCTTCAATAAGCTCTTCTAGGTAATCTCGCGGATGAAGCTTTAACTTGGATCTTGAACTTTGAATAGCAAGGCTTCACCGACATTCCGCCAACCTCCTTTGGATATGATCGTTGAAGCTCTATTCCATCCATCCTCCAACAACGTTGTTTGTCTACAATAAATAAGAAAACACAAATACTAGACAAACAATATTAGTGGTAAATTGTTTGTTAAACATCATCAAAACAAGAAGGCCAACAGTAACGACTTTCGATTCATAAATCATGATATATAACACAATAAAACTTGTAATTACCCACAAGAGAATAAATTAACCAAAAAAGAATAAAGACCTAGAGAGTAAATTAGCAGCTGGTCAAAGTATAACTGGAGGATCTACGGTATGCGTGCAATAATTGGCGCTCACGAGTCTCGGTGTTGTACCTCCCCCCAACGAGCGCCTTTTGTCATAATAATACCTACCCAATTTATTGTATCCTTTGTTTTTAAAAGACTTTCATCCTCCATAGTTCTGGTCAACTCCCTGGTGTCAATTTGTCATCCTTGCGTAGGGATTG